TATTTTGTTAACCTTTTGGGTAGCAACCTCATAAGGTTTCATCTACTCTACTCTAAATCCTGTTAATGTTGATTTTACTACAGCATTCATCTATGTGCAATACCCTGCTTTTATATCCAGTAAATATTTCAGGGGAATTTAAGAATTCCCTGTAATAGCAAATACTATTCTGTGTATTTAGAATACTGGATTGCATATTCTGACCTGCCTGTGGGTTTAATCTATAAATGCTCTCATTTTAGACTCTTCTAAATTAAACAAAATTTCTTTATGTCATTAACTAGCAGTGTTTTCAATCTTTGAAATGTTTGAGGGGTTTATTTAATTTTACATTGGTACAATTTTTTTAGGTTTCTGTAATTAAAGTTTAATTATACATTGTATGTGAATGGTGTAAAATGACGTTACACATTTTTGAAGCACTAAGAAGCCTGTGGTAGTGGTTGCTGTGTTTGAATGATTAATATCTGCTCCAGAAACAGTAGAGTTTGACATGAAGTAACAAAGAACCTGCCTACCCAGCCTTAAATAGGGGTCAGCATTGTGCACAGCTTGATGTTTTCCTTGGCTGTGCCAGCCTGAAAAAGCAGCAACAGCACACAGCATGAATAATCTCCTTTATTTTTTAATTTGGGAGGAAAGAATGAGGAACAAAACAACCTCAACAGCTGTATTCCTTTGGTGTAGCTGGATTCTCTAACCAAAGACTGCAGTTCCCATGCTGAATGACAACAGAGTTGACTTCTGTCTGAGAAGATAAAAATGAGAGATGGACAGTCTCTAATCCATTGTGCTGGTGAACTAATAGTGTAAATTTTCCCTGCTTGGTTATTTGGCCATATGGCTGCATTGGCAAGAAAACCTTTTCATTGTAGCTGGAAGAAAAAAGCGTACAAAAAAGCTGATAAACTTTTTTGGATGTCTAGGATTTTTGTGGAAAAAGTAATTAAATGTTAAATTTAGCTTGAATTTCTGTACGTTCAGCCAAAGCACGCACAACTTTAGTATTATATGAAAATGGATGTGTATGATCTAAACCAGAAATACTGATGCAACATTGCAAAGGAGATGCTCAGATGTTTGCTTTCACTTGTCAGCCTTCTGAAGCCTCTAGTGATGCAATTAACTTGCCTCAGACTGTACATATCCAGCCACAACCTGAACAAGCAGAAGATCAGAAAGAGTTACCAGAATGGAGTGAGAAAGTTGCCCATGGAATCTTGTCAGGTACAGCTGTAATAAGGGGACTTGTGTTGAATTGAAACCAATGTGAGTGACATTTAAACAGTATTTTCACCTAAATGTATAGGTGCTGATAAAAGTGGAGTGATCAGAAGTAGTTGTTCACTAGCTCCTGTGCTGATCCTCTCAAGGATGCCTTGATGAGCTTTATGGCAACCATGCCATCTATTGCCAACAGTTTGTTCATTGTAAATGAGTTTGGCTCCTCCTTTGACTTTATTAGAATATCACCTGCTGGGACTCAAATCACTGTGACAGAACAACTTTACCCCTGTATGAACACATATTACAGCAGGCATCTGTTGTAATTTCTGCACATAAACATGTGGGTTTTTTTTTCTCTTAAGAGCCTTGGGAATATACTGATGACCACCAGCTGATTGTATATGAATATGCAAGGAGGGCTAGAGGGTTGGGTTTGTATGTTTTCCTGAGTGCTAATAGCATTGAGATGTGCAGTTCTATCAAATCTAACTCAGCTGGTGCTTGCATATCCATTAAAAAACTGAGTATCTGTATTAGGCTGACATTTGGATGTGGGCTGGCAGTATTAAATAAAATTAATGTAAAAAGTGGTGGTATAGGTGCAGAAATTACTGCAAGACTTCTGTGCTGGCCCATTTAGGGGAGAATATAATTGCAGACTCTAATCAGGAATGTTTCTAAGCATTCCTGTTTTGCAGAGGCAGAGGAGGGCTAGCTGAAGGAATCACATTCCATAAAATTGTACATACTAAGAAAAACAATTTTTGTCTTGAAGGTGCATCTTGGGTAAGCTGGGGCCTAATGAAAGGAGCCGAATACACGGGTAAAGCTATTCACAAAGGAGCTTCTAAACTGCGAGAGCACATTAAACCAGAAGAAAAGCCTGTGGAAGTCAGCCCAGCTGTAGCAAAGGGACTTCATGTAGCAAAACAGGCTACTGGAGGAGCTGTGAAAGTCAGCCAATTCTTAGGTAAAAGTTTCTATCTCATAGAATAGAATATTTTTGCCTTAAATAATTACAACTTTGAAAAATGCAAGTTGGTTTCTCTAGTCAGTAAACTAGAGGAATTACTAGCTTGATAAAATTCAGAGATCAGTAGTTTGTGCCTAGTTGTCTCCTGCAAGAGATGTGCTATAAGACTAATGCATATTACTTGGCCTTGAGACATCCTTTTCTTTCCTAAAAGAATAATCTGTATAGTCTTAAGTTTGACATGCTTTTGAAAGTTTTAGACAGTTAATTCAAAATGTTGTCTCTTTTTTTTTTTAACGTTGACAACCATACATTTTAAACCTCTACTCTCACTGGTTACTAACATACAGTACCACAAGAAGAATGTGTGTGTGTATTTTTAAACACACACAACTGAAAACAAGTCTATCTGACTACATATAAATATCAAAATAGAAATGGCCTGGTATTCAGAAGTGCCTGGAAACCCTAACAGCTCACAGTAACTTAATTTTGTTACTTATTTGCATATAATGTTTATATTTACTGTCGAGTGACTCACCCAAGTTTAAAAGAAAATTGTGCTGATTTTATAAAACTACTTTGAAGAACTGGAATGCTTGTAAGAAAGACTTCTACAGAAGACAAGTCAGGAAAGCAGCAACTTGTTCTCCATCTAAAAATTAGAGATAACAAAGCAGTGAAAACAGTTTCTTGAAATTTGAGTGTGAGATGTGTATATATATCTTTTAAGGCACTTTTTGTTCACAAGGCCAACCTTACTTGTTTTTTAGGATTTGCAGCTGTGTAGAACCAGAAAAATAAGGTTGCTTTGTATCAGTTTGGCACCTGCATGTGGATTAAAATTTGTCTTTCATATAGGTGTATTTAAATGGAAGCATCACTTAGGACTTCACTGAATCTTCCTGTTAATTATGATGAAAGATTTTTAAAGAAGGATGTTCTGTGTTTTCACTAAATAACCTGCATACTATTATTTTATGGTAGTTGAAGGGGTGTGTTCTATAGCAAGCTGTGTTGGAAAGGAGCTGGCTCCACACGTGAAGAAGCATGGCAGCAAATTAGTTCCAGAATCCCTAAAGAAAGATAAAGATGGCAAATCTACTTTTGATGGTGCTCTGGTTGTAGCAGCAAGTGGAGTTCAAGGTAATAAAAATTCCTTACACTTTTTCTAGTGGCATATTTTTAATGGTATGAACTCAAATAAGCTGATTGTTTCTACAGGGTTTTCAACAGTGTGGCAAGGTTTAGAAAATGCAGCGAAGTGCATTGCTAAAAGTGTTTCAACTGAGACTGTAAAAACAGTCAAATACAAGTAAGTTACGTTTTTATTGTTTTCATCTTCTACAGCACACTGTCATTGTCTCTGAATACTGGCAAACAAAAGCTTATGAAAGTGCAGGGAAGCTAACTGAAATGGCTCCTTTGTTGTAATTATGTAGCATGTGATAAGGTGGTAAGTGCACAGTAATGATCATCTCTTGTATGCAAAAATTTGAAATGAGTAAATGATTGTAGGAAGTATTTTTTTAGTTCTTTGTTAGAAGTATTACAGCTTCAGGCTGTGTTACAAATAATATTCAGATTTATATCTTTGCTCTATTGTACAATATCATTATGAAAAAAATTACTGGTTTAAACCTCTCAGCTCTAATCCTGAATTTATGCAAACTTAGCTAAATTTATGAAAAATAAAAGAACCTCATCTATCAGCAGTTTTGGCTAAAGCGAGGCAGTATAAAAAAAGAAAATTTTGTAAGGAAATCTAAGGCATATATAGCAATAATAGAACAGCCTCACTTGCAGAATACAGATGTTCTTAGAAATAGATAGTGGGGGAAGAGGACAATAATATTTGGGATTAAGATGATGTTACTAAATTGATGGAAGGATGAAAGCTGTACGCATGTACTAGAATATGATGTGGAGAATAAAGGAATATATTGAAATAACTGTGAAACATGAAATGCACCCCTCACAAAAAGGCCAGTAGATGTAATAGAAAGTGAAGAGTAAGCAAAAGCAAGCAGTTGAAATGGAATTGGTGATAAGTGTAGCAAAAGAGATATTTAAAAGGATTGCTGAAAGTGCATACAGGCTACAAGCCAATGGTAACAAGATAAACATCGGCATACAGTATTAAGCAGATTGGCATTCAGGGTTGTGTTGTGAAGCATTTCAAATAGGAGGACAAATAGCAAAGTTCTAGTCAGTTGTGGTTTACTGCTAATGTTTGTTTGCAGTAGGAATGTCAGGAGAAATTATACTGGTACTCATTTCACATAAATTCACATTAATGTTTTTGTTTTAGATACAAATATAGAAAATATGGAGATCAGCAGAAAACAGACACTAAGATTGCAAAACAATAAGTAACTACCTGTTGTAGCTAACTGCAAGATGATTGAAAATACTCTATATGGAATCTTTAAAATCTATCCTTATAATTAGATTAAAATTTTACATAATCTCCCTTTTGTAAGCTGTTTTTTTATTTCAGTGACAAAGATGTCTGCCACTCAAAATACCAGTGAATAAGCTAAATTCCACTTAATGCAAACAAAGCTAAAGGAACACTATCAGTGTCCCTAAATTTTAAAAAATGGCTAAAACTTCGTTGCAGTACCCTTGTGGATGGAATTTTAAAGAGATGCTCATCATATGCATGTTGATTTGAACTGGAGGGAAATGTAGCTTCAGAACTAATGTGTCTGCCAAAGTCCCATGCTACTACGTTTTTTTAAAACTATTTAAATAGATGCAGTGTATATATCTGCACAATTTTTTAAAAAAATAGTTAAAAATTATGTACTTCAGGCAGGCAAACTAAAAATTTAGTTATGAGACATTAGGAAGTTGTTACTCTTACTGTACTGGATAAGCTACAATCCTACTTTAAATGAGGTTACTTATTTTATTGATGCTATACTGGCTTGTGATGTTCCTGAGGTGAAAATAATTGAATTGACAGACTAATCAAACTGACAACTACTTCTGTTGTGAGATTAATTTTCTGACCTGCAAATCCAATGTTGATGATTCAAGGCTGTTGCTCTATCAGAGAATTAAAGGCAAAACAAAAAACCCACAAATTCTTTTTATTCAGTCTCATTGTTAGTTCCAGCCACATGCTCTGGCTGCTGTACTGATATATTATAGATTTTTGGATTCTTTGATATTCTTTGCTTCTCTCTAGTCTTATTTTGAGGTCCTCAAAGAACCTCTGGTCATAACAAGCACTGGGAAAAAGTAACTCTGCTGACTGCTGGGATTCTGATGCTGCCAGGAATACTTCCCTTTGCCCTAGTTTGTTTGACTGCAGTGCTCTCTGGAGAAATGTCTGGCTACCCAGAACACTTGGAGTTACTGCTCTCAGTGTACTCTTTTCCTCCTTCATTGTGCTTTCTGTGCACAATTGAGTCCTTAGTCTGAGACTGCCAACTTGCCCACTAAAGCACAAAGAAGCAGGACTCAGCCCATGGGAGAGACCAAAGGTTTTTATCACTTCATAATTTTCATTGTGTCCTCATGGAGGTTTTGGAAGAGAAGAGTAGAGGGGCAGAATCACCTGCTGGCCGTGCTGCTTTGGATGCAGCCCAGGATACAGATGGCTTTCTATATAGAGAGTGTAGGAATTTTACCTAAGAAGTAAGGTGAAAAAGAACCTTTAGTGATTGCATAAAACCTCTCTCCCCTCCCTTCTTAACATTCTATAGGTTTTTTTTAGATAGGTTTTTTACTCCTCAAAATTGGAGGGGAAAAATGGGAGGGAGACTGGAAGCGTTCTTGAAGAAAAAGAGTAGAAACATATTGGAATTTTCAAAGAGCAATTGATCTGATAGAGGACCAGCCTTTATTCAAATGGCTTCATAAATTCTAATTTTATTCTTTAGACATTTAGGCACTGTGCTTATTATTTTTTCTTGGTAATGTCTGAATTTCGGCTCTCAAAAGAATTCAGTGAAGATTAAAATATTAATAATAGAAATCTACAAAACTGCTCTCTTTCCTTAGGTATGGAGAGGATGCTGGTCATGCTACAGACAATGCTATGAATTCTGCAATCAATGTTGGTGTTACAGCATTTAACATTGAAAATATTGGTATCAAAGCTGTTGTAAAGAGAACTGCAAAGGAAACCGGCCATGCTGTGCTAGATGAATATAAAGTATTGGATAATGAGAAGAAGGGTAAAAAATGAAAGCAATTAAATATTTCTCAGAGCCTTACATTAGAGTTGAAACTTCCTATTTAGAAGTAACTACACTGCTCATCTGAAATTGAACATAAGTCACACTATTTTTCAAGCAACTGTTATTTAATTTGACAGGCAAATGTAAAAGTAGGAAGAGCATTTGTAGAAGGAAAAAATGAAAGTTGTCACCTCCTTGTTCAGTACAGAACAAGAGGTTTAAACAACTGGATCAGGGCTTTAGGCAATTGGAAGGATATGAGTTTGCAGTTCATATACTTGCATCTTTAAGTACATTTTCAAAATAATATATGGAATAATAGATTAATATAGAAATACTATTGTGAATATTTTTGTAAAACTATATTTTTTAAGAAGGTAGTGATACAGAAAGAGAGGGATTGCTAATTCTGGAATAAATAAAATTACCAGTTTTGGCTTTATAACTATCCTTAAGAATTAGTTTTACTAATCGAGTCTTGTCTTATTTAATATGCATTACTAAATAAGCATTGTGTTTCATTTTTTAATAGAGAATTTCTCTTTTCACGTACAAAAAAGCTGATCTTACCCAAAGTTCATGTTAGGAGAAATTAAAGATAAACCTCAGGTAATTAGGTAGTCATTCTCTTTCAGACTTTTCTTTTCATCCAGCATATAAGTAAACCAAAGATACCAACCATTACTTCTAAAAGAGTTATTTACAGGACTAGAAAAATGCATTTTCCAGTTGACTTCATAAGGAATATACAAGGATTCTTTGAAATTCAGGTTTTTATGTAGAGAGAATAAGTATGGTTTTGCATAAATTATTTTTCTGTGAAAATATTAGAGGGCACTGGGAAAGTCTATGCACTCTGTATTTTTCAGCTGATTCAGATAATATATCATGACCTCCTGATGGAAGACTCCTAATGTTTGAACAAATAGTTGTAATGGTCATCATCTTTAATCCATTAAATTGATAATTGCACAAGGGTGTGAAGTGGTGAAAAAGACAATGAAGACAAACCCTTTTAATGAAGTGTTGTGTAGAATAGACACTTCTGTGTAGATTTGTAATCCCATTTGTAGCCCAGTGTAAAATAACGCAAGATGTTAAATCCTTGAGATGCTTTGACCCTGCTGCTTATTTAACACTTTACTGTTGAATCTTAAAGCTGCTACACATTCTGATACTGGCTGGACCTGCAACAGACAGAATGCCAACAACTTAAAACTTATCTCCATTTCATGTATATGGAGAAAATAACTATAATTGGCAAGTGATATTTTTAGAAGATTGAAAAAATGCAGTAACAACTACAGTCTGTTAGAATGGTAATAGGTGCATATTTTGTGGTAGCTACTGAAGGTGTATGCTTAAGGCAAAAAATGTGAAAGAAAGGATCTAACCACTTGAAGTGTAACTTTGATTTATGGAAATAAAGATAAAATCTGTGCTTGACCTTTTTATGATATGAAACTTCCATATGGATCCATAAGTGGAAGAACTAGGACTTCTTCAGAAGTAATAAAATAGCAGTATGGGGTTATATATACAGTATAAACAAGCTCATCAACTAAAGCTTAAAGATTTCAAACTAATAAGTTCATCCAAAGTACTGTGCAACAATTTCTGTTACTATAGTCTACCACTTGCCAGCTTGTGTAACCAGTTAAGGATTGCTGAAGACTTAACACTAGCAAAAGCATTTTTTGTTGCTATGGCCTGTATTTACAATAGGGATATAGGTATTTGTATCTTCTTTCTCCCTCCCATTTTGAGGTTTTGCATATAGCATGTCCTTCAGTTTCCTCTATAAATCATCAAAACAAAGAGTTGTATTAAAACAACAGTTAGATCAAGGTATTACAGTCTTCAAGAGACCACATTGGAGTACACTGAGGAATAACAACATTTAAATGCCATCAGTATCAGGTAGTGGTGTTCTGCTCAACCGGCTGTTCTCTTCATGTGTATGTCTTTCAAAATGGATTAAAACTATTTTTTAAATGATGCCTACCCCATTTTACAGCTTGTAATGTGATATATCCATGATCTTCCCTTTTACATTGCTCCAAAGTTTAGTTAATTTTCCCAGCTGATGGCATGATGCTTGAACTTACCTCACTTCACCTGCCATTCCTTAAGCCCATTCCTTAGCAACTCCATAGGCTTCTCCATTCTTCACAACAGCCTTCTCATATTTACTGCCTTATCTCAGCTCTCCCTTTTATATATTAAGCTCTCCAGGTAAGGTTGGCTTTCTATTCACAGCTGGTTTGGTTTCTTTGAACACTGAACATCTTTTGATACATTGCATTCCTAGAAATTTTACTAAGCCATGTAATGTATGAACTACTATGTGATTTTCTGAGGCATTCTTACTTCCAAATTTATTCAAAGACCTTTCTGCTACAATATTGGTCTCAAATCTTATCTTGAGAGGATTACTTTCAATGATCTCCAAGTCATTCTAAGCTCTAGCCATCTCTGGCATTTTCATCATTGTGTAGATACAAACCATGGTTCTTATCTCAAATCTAAACCCATGTATTTGAATTGATTCCTCTAGATTCCAGTGGTTGTTTGGTTTGTTTAATGCTGTTTTAAAACCAACTTGGAATAGCCTATTTTTAATGTTCCCTGAATAAATCCATAATCCATTAAAAATAATTGGTAAACCTACCTTCTGCTACAAAAAACATGCTGACCAGCTTACGATGGAAGGGTGAGGGTTGAACAGAGACCCTGGTCTGTAATCCACTTCCTGCTCAAAACAGGTCCAGCCTGGAGTACAGTCCTCTGCCCCAATTCTGTTCATGTTGTGATTATCTCCAAGCATTGAGACTTTTCAGCCCTTCTGGGCAACTTTTACCCAACTTGACTCTGCCCATTATTCCCCCTTACACTGAGCCAAACATTTTAAAATGCAGGTGCATTTTATTGCATATCCTTCCATCATGCACACTGGAGGAAACTTAAACTTTGGCTTCTCCATCTTAGACTTTCATATTGCATAGCTGATTACAGTGCTAAGCTCCCCTTATGCCTTCTCTTCTCCAGCCTGAACAAAGGCAAGTTCCTGACCTAATGCAGCCCTTGAGACTTGTTAGGGAGTCAAAAGCTAAGCACTTCAGCACCTGCTGAATAGAGTGGAAGAACCATCTCCCTCAGGCTCCTGGCCACGCCCTTGCTATGGCAGCCCAGGAGTCCTTCAGTCTTGTTTGCTGTAAGCTGTTGGTGGCTCATGGCAGCTTCTTCACCAGGAAGACTGTGTCTTCTACAACATGGCATTACTCCAGTTAACCATGCCAGATACTGGGCTTTGCACTTGACTTTTGTTGCATTGCATTAGGTTTCTCCAGGCTGTACACCTACCCATGAATAGTCACCCTTTTCATCCTGCATACTAACTGCTCCTCTCAACTCATTGCCATCATCAAATTTGCTGAGCTCATACTTAAGTCTTCCAGGTTATCAATCAGGAATTAAGGGTATTGGCTCAGGTATTGATCCCAGAGTCAAACAGTCATACTGATGATCTCCACACTTCAAGCCTGATGGCCCAGCCAATTTTCCAGGAGCCTTATGAAGCAGTTATCCAATCTAGAACTCACCAATTCAGCTATAAAAGTACTGTGGGAGACTACATCAAAGTCTTTGGTAAAGTCAAAATATACAACAGCCACAAGTTTCCCCTTGCCCACACAGCCATTCATCATACCTTAGTTACTGGTGCTACAGAAATAACTTTGTAAAAATTAATTTATGCTTTCAGCAATTAGTCTGCCTTACTTTTAAGTAACCCCAGGTGTTTAGTGCCTTTATGTATCATAAATACATATTTAAGTATAAAATTCTGTTTTCAAAACATTGTGTTGTGATCAAGTTTTCTAACTTCTTACTAAAATTTTTGAACTCAACCCATTAAAAGCCTTAAAACAATGATAATGCCTTTAGCAGTGTCTATATAGCCAATTTTAACCAATTTATTTGGAATAAAGAAATGGAGGAAAATTCTTCAGTTACGAGTGTCACTGTGTTACTGCTGTGATTGTTAAACATGTTGATGATTTGAAGTTTTACACACTGACCTGGTTTAGGGCAAATTTGGAAGAAAACCTCCAAAGGGGTTCCTCTAAAAAGCAGATTCAAGTGGCCCCTTCCCCAGCTGGTTTGGGAAAAGATTTCCTTGGAGGAAAGTGGAAAAAAAACTTTATTTAACAGGCAAAGCATTCACCAGCACAAAAAGTGAACAATATTAAACAATGAAACCTCTCGCCTCTCCAAAGAGATGACAAACTCAGAAAGTCTCCTTGGTGGGCTGTAGCTTGGCTCACCCAGCCTGTTACCAGTCCCTCCGGCACTGGAAATGCCACGGCCCAGGCCTGGTCTAGTGGGCCACAGGTGTGAGCTGCCGGTGTTCTGGGTGTTCAGCCCAGAGCAGGTTCAAACAGTTCCAAGAAAAATAAAACCCACAGTCCAGGGAACTTCTCTGCCTCAACTAGCTAGAAACTAACAAAAAAAGCAAAGGAAAGCCCTCTCCTGCCAGCTGTCCATGCTGCAGACAACACAGTCCAGGAGAGGATGCGGGGGAGCAACTGCAGTCCCAGATAACAAACTCTGCGCTTCTTCTCTCCCCACCTTCACTAAGAACCAGTCTTAAAGGTGAAAACTTATTTCTGGGCTAAACAGATGAATGGGGATAACAATTCAGCATCATAAAGTCACCCCAGACCACATGCTCACACAAGACCTCAGTCCACAGGCCACTTCTTTTCTCTCACTCCAGTTCCCAAACCATCAAGCGAAGCAACTGCAGTTAGACCTGCTGTGCTGTGCCAACCCAGCCAGTGTTCTCTGGGCTCATCCTTATGTGCACAGTGACCTGGTTCAGACATCTAGTAATCCCTGGGTGAGGGGGGACCTGAAAGTGCCCTGGAGAGGAGGTCAAATTAAAGTCTCCTGGGGCAGGAAGAGTATGCCATGAGTGGGGATGCAGCCCTCAGTTCACCTGTGCCCTCTGTTCTCAGACTTGTAATTCCAGGCCTCTTCCTGAGCTTTCTAAATGTGCCCACCCACTAAGAACAATTCATCAGGTTGGTTACATTAATCTTGAAATAGTTGTTCACAAAAACTTGTAACAAGAAAAATGGTTACTCATTAAAACCTTTGCTGTTAATATTCAGTATACAGTGAGTTATGAATGCTGACCTAGGTCCAAGTCATTATTTAAATTACTGGTTTCTTATGAAATGTGTTTTCAAAATGAATGTTAAAAAGGTAGCTTTCAGTAATACATGAAGGCAAAATAAGAACCTAAATTTAAATGCAGTTACAGTGCAGCACTCTTCTAAATTCGTTTCTTGATTAAATTGTATCAGAAAATTCTGAATTCAACCCACACCAAAGATGATAATTCAGTGATTAGCTGATAGCATCAGTTATAACTTGAGACTCAAAAATCATCTCCTGCTCTAATATATATCAGAGAAGTGAAATTAAAATTACGTTTTCTTCTAAGAATTACTCTCCATCCTACCATTGTACTTCCCACTCTTCCATCCTACCGTTGTCCTCCATCCATTAGGCACACTGGATTAGTGCCCTGCTATTGCAGTATCAGTGAGGCATTAGATCAGGAAATTCCACTACCCCTTTAGGATTACAATTCACAACACTTCAGGACGGGCTTATGGCAATACTGGTTTTTATGCTGTGTTAAAGTAATGGTAATACATAACCCATGTTTTAAACTTTTAAAGCAGTGCCTGTGTTGCCCAGCAGGTGGTAGGGCTATGGCATTTGGCTTGCTACTCGTGCAACAGAATTACTTGAACTGAGGAAACCATACCCTTTCTCATAATATATCAGTAAAGGAAAATTAAAGTCCACCCCCTTCCTGGGAAAGTGATCAGATAGTTCCTTTAGTGAGCATTAAGTCCTGTGAAATGGTGAGTTGAGCTAAGAGTGCACTAATTGCTCCCAGTTTCACCCTGTCTCTTGCATCAAGTCTGGTGCTTTCCTGTGCAGCTGGTAAATCACTTAGATCACCAGCCAGCAGAAACTGAAAACATTAAACATTTTCCCTTATGTAAGTTTTCAGTGTTTCAGAAGCTGTACTGGCTCACTGAAGAGTCACACAAATGTCAAGAGCTAGAACTGAAGCAGCCAGAGAAGGTGACAGGAAGAACCTGACAGAGGTGATACCACACAACAATAATCTGATTAACTCACCCCATAAAGATGTTCCTTGAGAAATCCATGAACTGATCTGAAATTCCTTGTTTGAAAAATGCAACATCAAACATTTTTAAGCATCGATTGAGATCATGTAAGATAATTCTTTTCCAATGTATATTGACTAACACCATTGATTTGATCAGTGATGATTCTGAACTCTCCCGTCTCAAGTTAGGGTCTTACACACTGATTTGCAAATAGCACAGATCACAATTATCGAGCGTGCTAAAAGATGGGCTGGTCACACCGTAGGGCAGGTTCCACTGCACTGTGCCTGCCTTCACATGTAGGTCATAGCATCTACTTAAAGTCGTGCTACTTGCCATCCAGAAGAAATATTTTTAAAAATCTGCACACATTTGTGTTTCCCTAGGTCATGAAAAGCTCAGCACACTGTTCAAGTTACATGATCAAAACTCTTAAGTGGGCCAGAGCTGTACCCTATTTCCCCATCCGTTTCTGGTGCTGCCCGAGCCACATGCAGGGCGTTCCGCCGGACAGAGCACAGAACAGCCCGGCACACGCGGCGGACGGGACGGGCGGACGGCACGGGGCGGCGCTCGCCGCGGCCGGGCAGGTGCCGGCGGTAGCGACTGCCGGTGGCGCCCGGCCCCGTCTCCCTTCTCGGCTTTGCCAGGGTAGTGGGAGAGCCACGGGGACCGCGGCTTTGCCAGGGTAGTGGGAGAGCCGCGGGGACCGCGGCTTTGCCAGGGTAGTGGGAGAGCCGCGGGGACCGCGGCTTTGCCTGGGTAGTGGGAGAGCCGCGGGGACCGCGGCTTTGCCTGGGTAGTGGGAGAGCCGCGGGGAGCGCGGCGGGGCCGGCAGGGCGGCGGCGCCGGGAGCGGTCCCGCAGCGCCGCCCGCGGGCAGCTCCCGCCGCCTCCCTGCGGCAAAATGGCGGCTGCCTCCGGGCGGGCCCGCGGCATGGCCGGGGCTCCTCAGCGCGGCCCGGCTGCGCTGGGAGCGCCGCTAGCCCTGCAGGGCACCGGGAAGGGCCGGCCCGAGGGATGCAAGGTGTCAGGAGGAGCCCGAAGAAGCGGGATAAATCATGTGAGGCGAAAAGGAAGATAGGGCCGGCTGCCGCGGCAGGCAGCTCAACACCACACAGCCTGCTCGCTCCGTCTTCTCCCAGTGGGATGGGGGAAAGAAGGAAGGAAGGGGGAAAGAGAGAAAATTCTGTTGATACAAACAGAATTTAATAACTAAAAAGGAATAACAACAACAAAAAGGAAACCCAAGAAAAGCAACCGATGCAAAAACCTCCAGTGCTCACCACCAGCGGGACATTGCCTTTCTCGAGGCAAAGCAGCCCCAGCAAGTCCCAACGCCCTAGTTTTTATTTCTGAATGTGACATGATACGGTATGGGATATCACTTTGGTCAGTGGGATCAGCTGTCCCAGCCATGTCCCCTCCCAGCTCCTTGTGCACCTCCAGCCCTCTCACTCGTGGGGTGAGGAGCAGAAAAGGCCCTGACCCAGTGTAAACAATGCTCAACAGTAACTAAAACATCACTGTGCTATCAGCACAGTTTTCATTACAAATCTGAAACAGTCCCATACCACCTAGTATGCAGAGAATTATGTGTCCAAGGCAAGCACAGTACACTGGGCTGGGATGTCACTTTGGGCGAAAAACAGAGAAGACTTACATGGGTGCATCCCTTGCTGGGGGAAAACAAAAAAAAATGGAGAATGATATGCTCTTTATGCATACTTCTTTCTACAATTTTGAATAAAAGTGGAAAGCTGGATTTCTAGGGTCAGTAAATATCTCTGAGACCTCTAAGTAAAGTATGGCATCTCTGCATGCAGTTTGCAGGATGAGGACTTGTTCCTATTAGCAGTCAGTCCCCTTGCTGAAGTAGCAGTAGTTTCAGTGCTGTGATAATTGTTGATGCTCATGCCTGGTGGGATTGTTTTTGTCCTAAGTTTGAGCAGGAAGCTACATGTTTTTCCCTGTGTTGAACAACATGATTGCCTTTTGAGTGCTAATAAATGGAAACAGGAAATGTCAGAAGCTCCTGTGCTGCCTTAATTCAGTCCCTTGAAATTTACATTTACATACCATTTTCAAGCATTCTGTTCATACTGATTTTTTTGCCTGAACAGTGTTTCTTTCAGTGTCTGAGCTGCAGACCTCTTCAAACTAGTCCTGGAGTCATGGATTTTATAAAATGTTCATTCATAAATGGAAAAGGAAAACCCAGTACTAACATAGTCAAAATGGCACCTTATGTATTCAAAATGGCAGAAAAAGTAGCTTGGACATACTTGCACCAACATGTAAGCAAATGACCTTTAATAAATCTCCTGACTTAGTAGTGTCTCTAGATAAATAGATCAGTTGTTCTCTGCATGCACCAGTTCTTTTACCTGACACATGATGATGATCAGGTAAAATGGTAATCAGGTAAAAAGTTGAGTTGTGGTGATTTACTTATAAAAGCAAAATATATATTTAGTAAAAACCTTTATGGTGATGGCATGCCAGTAAAAGACTTTCAGCTCCAAGTGGGTTCTACAACTATTTTCTTTGTGTGCAAATAGACGTTATTGTCTGTTTCCCAGGAATAATTTATTCAGATTAATTGCCAATGACCAGGCTTGTTAGACAACTCCATCTAAGCCAGAGACATGTGTAGTCAATGAATAGAGAAAGCTTTTTGAAGGTGTGATTCATCTGACCTACTTTGCCTGGCTGTTCT